CATAAGATGAGATGCATTATTTGCATAAAATGAGAAAAAAAACATCTAGTTAACTAAAAGTTGACAAAAAATCAAAAAGAACGAAAGTTATATTCCCTGCATTTGAGGTTATATTCTCTACACATTCTCAATGACATATAGAAAGTGTAATCTTGCGGCAACTGTAAAAAAACGTTTTTTAAGAAAAATTTTACGCAAAAATCAAAGTCTAAAATTCTTGTCCAAAGTTGGAGACAATGAAAGAAAGTTGAAACTCGCTGATTGCAAAGGTCATTATGTTCTCATAAAAATGACTGATATTCCTTTGAGTAATTTTCTAATCATTCTCTAAGTTTTTTTCAATTTCATCATTTAAAAACAGCTGTCATTAAATACAGTTAATTTTTCCAGAAAAAAAATGTTTTTTGTTTTTGACAACCAAAATCAGAAAAAATGAAAGTTCAGTTTAGTAGCAACGTTCCTAGACCAGAAAAAGTTTTTCTGGACAGTTGCTTTTTTTCTATTTTGCATTCACAAGCTCAGTGTTAATGAAAATGAGCAGGACGAAACACTGTGGGTAGTTGCTTTAACAATAAAAAAAACAAATTGGGAAATTAAAAACTATAAGCAAAAAAATTCATACAAATGGAAAACTCTTCCTGTTTCTGGAGGAACCAGCTTTTTCTGGCAACGTTTTTGTTTCTTTTTACAATTTGTTACAAAAAATCAATTTATGTTTAATTAAATTAATTATTTTTTAGCATTATTAATCACCGTATGTTAAAATTCAAAAAACTGGTCCTGATGTTGAGTTAATGCAGGGGGTTATTTAAGCTTTGAGTTAACCATTGGTCAAAAACACACTTTAAAAAAATGTTTTCGACTAAAATGTACTCCCTTTTACAACAAGTTTGGTTCTTTAGCCATCACAACATTTCAATCGATGCACAGAACCGAAAAATGCAAGACAATTGGGGTACTGATAAAAGGCTCAATTTCATGAAGAATGGATTTTTTTTCTAACACACAGCCAAAAGTAGTTTTACAATAAATCAGTTTGAAACACCAAGTGATTATACAAAATGACATTTGCAAGATCTTCCAGCAACTACTCAAACACGCATATTCATTTTTTTTCAAATTGGATGGCCAAAGAAAAAAATGAGATGTGAAACACGGTTTGAAATGACTGATTGCAAACGCCAATCAAATCATTTTGGTCTCCTAAAGATGGTATATCTTTGAGATGTTGTATAGTCAAAACTTAAGCAAATTCAAACTTTGGTCAATAAATTTGATCAAAAATCAAAAATGTCGATAACGACAATCGATTCTTCAGGAAGTAAATAAAGTGTGTTTTTGACAATCCAAATTCGGAAAAAATCATTGATTTTGTGAGGTAGCAACAATCCTAGATCAGAAAATTTTTCTGCGTTGTTGTTTTTGAGCGAGAACGCATATTGTGAGTAGTTGTATCACCAAGTCTAATTGATTGAGTTTTGTCTCAACCAAAAAAATGAGCCAAAAAATTGGACAAATGATGAATGATGAACTATTCCTGTGTTTGGGGGATTATTTGTTTCCTGTAAAACACAGTTTTCACACAAAACATTTAAACCTTTGCTTTATTTAATAAATTAATTTCACCAACCGAATCAACCACCATACAACCAAACTGAACAACTGGTCCACCACTGAGTTCAAGCAGAGAGTGATATTGATTTTTTTTTTAATTAGCAAAAAAACAAGAGTAAGAGAGTATTCGAAATTATGTGCAAATTATTTTCCTGCGTTTTGCCCAACAGCTCCATACCAATTTGATCAGTGAACAAAACGAGAGAGGTACAATCAAGTTGTTATAAAAAAAACAGGCAGAAACTCATGTACAACGAGAGTTATTTTACCTACACACCTTTAAATTAAAAAAATAGCCGAATTGAACAAGCAAGTTGTAAGATAAAATTGGATGAAAGTTGCATATCTTGGAGTAAATACCCAAAAAGCTCAAATTCAAGTTATTACTCAACTTGGAAGTACAAAGTTGGACTCAATCAGAAGTGAAAAACAGTGAACGCTCGCTGATCGCAACGGTCATTTAAAAAATTAGTTTCTTTCAAAAAATGAAATATTTTCCAGTGGTTTTAAAAACATAAACTAAGCTAAAAATTTTGTTTGATTTTTTAAAAAGAGCCCTCAATCAATACAGTAGATTCTTCAGGAGGATTTAAAATTTTTAATTTAACAATTAAAACCAGGAAAAAACCTTGGAAAAATTTTGTGAGCAGGTTTATCAATATAAGTAATTGATTAAATTTTGCCTCAACCAAAAAATGAACAAGAAAATTGGCCAAATGATGAACTGTTCCTGTTTCTAGGGGATTAATTTTTTCCTGTAAAGTAGAGTTTTTTCATTAAACGCTCTTTTTACAACACATATGAGCCTTTGTATGATTTGAGATTTTTGTTCTAAAAACAGTATCAACCACCATATGACAAATTTTGGAGAACTGCCCCACCAATGAGTTTATGCCGGGACCGATATCGATTCAATTATAATGAGTAAGAGTGTAATCGAATAACATGTGCAATTTTTTCTCATGAGCTCCGTCCCAGAGCCCTAAAACAATTTGATCAGTGCACAGAACGGGACAGGTACAACTAAGTTTTTATTTAAAAAGTGGCAGAAACATAGGTACAACGGCAGTTATATTATTTACACACCACATATAAAATGTTACAATCAGGTAACTTGAAACAAGCAAGTTTTTGATCAAATCGGCATAAATAAAAGGAATTTTTTCAGCAAAACCAAAAACAAAATCCATCAATTTTAAAAAATCCACTCTTTTAAAAAACCATCAACAAAAACAGTAAATCTTTTTAAAAAAATAATTAAGGAGTGAAAAAGTTTTATTTTGATATTTAAACCAGGAAAAAATCTTGTTTTCTGCATTCCTAGATCAAAAAGCTTCTGTTATGAACATATGTAATTCCTCTATTTTGGATTTAAAATTTAAAAACTCTGTGCTTTCGATTATGAGCAGGACAAAATGCTGCGGCGAGCAGCTTTAGTAACACTAGTAAAAGATAATAATTTGCTTCAAACCGAAACAAAACGCTTAATTTTATCATCCTTATCAACCAATATATGACAAAATCGTTAGAAAATTGCTCCCATTATTGATCTTATTTATGATTATGATTAACAAGAGTGATTATGATTAACTAAGTGAACAAAAATTACACTCCGATTGAAAACAGGTTCTTGATTTTTCGGGTTCTTGAGGTTCTCTGTCACATGCTTTTTTCAGTTCAACTGAATTCAAAAAAGTTACTTTTGCTGGTCGACATGAAAATCTATATGTGATTTTTTATCAAACACAACTTGTTTTTCAAAAACTGCAGAAAGTGAGCTACTTATGTAGCTTATTTCAATTCCTGATGAGATGTAAAACCAATTTAGCTTTTTCTCAATCAGCTGGTTTCTCAAAATTTGTGACTAAGTTGTAGAAAAAATCGACATCAAAAGCTTTTGGTTTTTTGTTGGTAGATCTGCCAACACAAGTTTTTGATGTCCTTTGTTAGAGTTCATTTTTAATTTAGTTTGCACAGCTCTTTTATTTACAACACATATGAGCCTTTGTATGATTTGAGATTTTTGTTCTAAAAACAATATCAACCACCATATGACAAATTTTGGAGAAGTGTCCCACCAATGAGTTTATGCCGGGACCGATATCGATTCAATTATAATGAATAAGAGTGTAATCGAATAACATGTGCAATTTTTTCTCATGAGCTCCGTGGAAAAACCTTATACCCACCTTCAATCCAAAAGTGTTTATCCGACAGCATTGCGATAAACTAAGGGAGTCTGAAAAATTTGTACTAAAACTCCACAGAGCCTAACGGCATTCTGTTTTTTTTTTCAGATTACCTGCAACTTTACCAAATCAGTTCTATTAAACAGTCTCCATCTGACAAAAAACTAAACTTTTGTAAAATATACTTTCCATCTATCTGTAAAATAACCGGCGAAAAAATCACCATTTGGAGTTCCAGCAGCCGGAATAGTCAACAAGTTATCAAAATTGTAAATGCACTTGTTGAGGTACCTAACGACAATACTCAGACATTATTGGTTCACTTCTGAGTAAATTCAATGAATCAAAAACCAATCAAAAATTAGTGGCTGAGAAGCGTCCATAAGAGCTAGATCAAAGTTGAGCAGACATTTGTTGTTATTTTTGGATCTCATTTCATTGTTATATCTGTCAGCTCGTTCCTTTTCAGACAGCAAAACCGGTTTGCAATAGATCAATCATCAATATAAGGCCAGTGTCAAAGATGGCAAGTTTTTGGTCTACCTGTCAGCTGGTTTCTCATAGAATGCAAAACAGTCTTCCAAAAAGTCAATCACCTTCAGAATTACATTTGTATTTTACAAAATATAACAAAACAGAGCAATTTAATTTTAAATCAAACAATTACTTTTGAGGGACAGAAACCCTAACTGAGAGGGTTTAAAAAACAAGGAAAACAATCCGGAGGTTTTCTCAGAGCAAAGAAATAGTGTAAATAGTTGCAGTGGCGTTGAAATTTTGAAAAGAATCGAGGACGGAATGATATGCACTTGTTGTTTGTGTTCAAGAGAATTATTTTTGAGAAGATGTAAGAAATACAATGGAGAATCAATGGACAAGTATCTCAGAAGCATGTAGTTGCAAAATAAACATAAAGCAAGCTTTAAAATTGGACGAGCGTGATTTTGAGTTTTTTCTCTGAAAAATAAGGAGATATAAACAATTTTTTTTATCAACGACTTTCAAACGAATGACTACCAGCATTGCTCAAATTAAAATGATTTCTTGATGTATGAGAGAAACCTTAATGGCTAAAACTGCACTCCCATAAAATTGAAACAAAATTTGAGTCGAATTTTGCTTTGTTGAAATCAACTTGTTTTGCTGAATTTGCATGTGGGTTTTGCCCTTAATGAATGAAGAAAAGCGTAAAGCTAACCTGCAGAATGGCGGGAAAAACTTGCATCTGTTTTGACGTAGCACCCATTCCACTTGAGCCTATATGGATGAAGTTAAAACGAATCAAAGACGCAAATACTTTTATATTTTTCGATAAGTTGTTCGCAATTTTTCGGAATAAAAGTTTTTTTTGCCATATTTTATGCCATATTTTATTCAATTTGTCAGCAAAAATGAAACAAAATGGTTTATCAAACAAACAACTCAGGCTCTGAGGAAAAAAATTGTTTAAATTGTTTAAATTTTTCAAAAAAAAAATAATCGATTTTTTACGGCTGAACACTTTAGTTTTAATTTCACCCCTAAAATATCCGACCCGCCATAAACGGGATTGAGGGAGCAGATTGGTAAAATGCGATTCTGGTCCAAAATCGGATGATTCAACTTAAGAAGAGCAATGTCGTTCTTGAAGTATTGGTCTCTTATTTCGAAGCTGAAATAGAATTAAAAGATTTTTCGTATCAAGGCAGTCACAACAATTTCACCATCACACATCATAATGTCGCTCCACATTGTTTTGCTAAGTTTTTGAAAAACAGAAAAAAAATATTTTAACAGCCAATAACCATAAGTAGAATTTGCAATTGGGTTGGTAATGAATGATGATGGAAAAGCTTGCCCGATGGACACCAGGTATTCGGATAGTAATGAACAGCCAGTTAGCAGGCTTTTTAGTGAGACAAGTTATCTAATTTTACAACTTTAACGTACAAAGCCTAGGAATAGAACTAAGAACATGCTAGTTGAAAAACAGGTAGTAAAAATGGTCAATTATTAGGTTTTGAGGCGCGCGTGATCTCATTGGTAATAAATCTGTTGTACGATGTTTATCGTGAAATAGTAAAACATAATTTCTTGTTGTTTTGTAAAAGAGTCGTGGCGAACGTTTTTTGCAGTTTTTTCCCACTAAAAAAACTGCAAAAAACTTTACCGCCACATCAATAACAAAATCTAAGTTATTTCATAAAGCACCATAAAATTGCAAGTAATTTTTATCTCGACATGACTGCATCAAGTTGGTATCTTCAGAGGAGACGTTGAAAATTAAACGACCAAAATGGCCTTGTTTAAAACAATTTTATATGTATGTGGTTTTTTTTTGCAGTCAGAGTCTATGCCTCAAGGTTTTTTGAAGCCTCAAAAACATGCAGAAGATGCCCAAACAGAAAGATCGATCTTTTGAATTAATTTTTCTGCAAGCCATTAAAACTCCAATATAACGTTTGATTTGAGTTTGAGATTCCTAAGAAAATTCGGAACATAATTTTTTAGCTTAAATTTTTTTGATACCTGGATGGAATAATTTTTTTGTGAACCGTATTGTGTCGGAGAATCGGATTGCTAGGATACACCACTTGTCCAGCATCCAACAAAATGAAGATGTCTTCAACTAAACGAATTAAATAAGATTAAAATAGAGACAGTTGCTTAACAAATTTTGACCAAATTGTTAGCGTTATACAATGCCACATCAATAACAACAAAATTGTATCGTCAAATCAACATTTTTGACCCAGAAAATCCATCTAGAAACATGTACTTATCATGGAAACTCTTTTCGAGTTTTGGTTTATTTTCTTCTCTCTTCTGGTTTATCTATTATGATATAATAGATTAAACTGTTTGCATTGTATATTCCACTCACAGTAATATTTACTACTTTTACAACGAAATGAAATCTCATTGCGAGAACGCCGTAGAATTTTTCAGCCCGTTTTCAGGCGCCTCTGATTCTTCTATGACTTCTGATGATTTGTAAAATCGATAGTTATTCAATAAATCAATAAAAATGTGGGAAAAAATTTAGTAGAGAAAAATTAACCAAAAAAGTAGTAAAAAATTATGAACCAAAAAAAGGCTTAAGAATAGCTTAAGCTAGCATCAAAAACTGAGCATAAGAATAACAAAAAGAACATAAGCTTTGCAAATGTTTGCTTTTTTTTCAGTTTTTATTTCACTTGTTTGTGCATAAAAATTTGCAATTGATTTTTCTAATTCAGAGATTCAGAAAAACCGAAACAGTTTTTGATGCTATTTTATACAGTCAAAAACTAGGTGAATAACTATTTTCTACCGCAAACTTGCAATTTTCTCATGCTAATTTTTTTACATAAATTTTTTTACGAGCTGATATTCGTACAATCCTTTAAACTAATTTTAAAATTTTATAACATGTTCGGAGAAATTATTTTAAATATTATCTAAATAAGATTAGCTAACCAGGTGGGGCCGAAACACAATGTGCAGCGGTGATTACCCAATATGGATGTATAATAGTGGCACCACAAAATGTTTTCCAATTCCTAAAAAGGACTGAAGCAAAAAATGGTCGCCCTACTGGTGCATTAAAACCATTGACAATCAAAGATCTTTCTGCTAGTTTGAAGTTATTTTCTGGTTTTTCATGATTTTTGATGAACACTCTTGATTGCGTTTGAACCAAAAACGAAGTTAACAAAAGTACTGTAAAGTGGAACATGATACTGAAAATAAAAGTAAAATTTGATAATAAGATCAATTGAAGGTATTTGAGCTCGCCTTTAAAATGAATGAGTTTTAATTGAATGAATAAATATTAATAATTGTTGAACTTTATTTAAATCTGCAGTAAAGGTAGCAATAGCTGTAAGCATCAAAGATGAACAATTATATAAGTCCTAATTCAGCTGAACTTCTATTTAAACAAATTTGGTGCAAAATTGATGCTCAGGTGTAGCAAGCATGTGCACTAACATTTTCATCGACAGAACTCGGATTCAGTAAAATTAAAACTTAATATTTTAATCTTACGGTGATTTTATCTGCGCAAACGCCACAGAAATGATCGCAAAGAATTTTGAATCTTTACGACGCCAATTTTTTTGTCTAAAGGGCACACTTTTGCTCGCTTGCATCCTAATTTTACACACATGTTTTTCGTCTGATTTAGAGAGAGTTAGATCGGAGACAAATGTTTCCTCAAAAATGTGTCAGTTTTTTTTGGACAACTAGAAAAGAAAAGGGAAAAATCAATATCTCGTACTTTTCAAACAGTCTCTTGCTGGTGTTCTTATGTTTCTTTCGACCAATTTCAAGTAACAAAGAAATAGCTTATAACAAAAATTTACAGACCCAAAAAATACCGATCCTCTGAGATCAAATAAACAGTAGAAATTTTACCTGCATCTGATATTGTCAAAGTTTTCGGGTTGTGAAAGATGCCAAATTGGCATTGTTCCGGATTAATTTATGAGCGCTTTGAGCAGTACGAAGAACAAAGTTACTCGTATCAAATTACTAATTAGTGTTAATGGGTTAAATCGTTGAGTTACAAACTGATATCATATGCGAATAAAAAGCCTTGATTCTGATAAAAATTTTGATCTGTATATTAATCCCCACACGCTATATAAAAACTGATGTGATACATTTTGAGCCTGGTTAAGCATTTATGAGAGTAAAAGGCTTGACTAAACTCACTTTGCCACGAATTGAAGGGCCGGCTGCGTTTTGATATCTCTAAATTTTTTTGGTAAATTTTATCCCGAGGTCACCAAATTAACAATTTAAAACCCCACAACCTACCAAAGTTTAAACTTTTTCCCATCGTGTACTGATGTTAAAATGATACAGTTTGTCCATATATACGAAATAAACGCTAAAAAGTAACCAAATAAGAGTAACAAGACATCTACGATTCCTAATTATTACTTATCCTGGTTACAAAAATTGATTGCAGGTAGTTTTTTATTAACCTATTTTATTTCACATACATTCCAAGAAAGATCGATTTTTATATCTGTTCACTTTGTAAAATCTGTTTTTCAAACGAGGTGAGAAATATATATGCTTGGAATTGTTTTGTTTCAGACTATTTTTAAATCATTTGGGGTTCGATTGCTGGTCCTTCGTGAGCCCTGCTGGGCGCTCATACCACTATTTCACCCTGACAAAAAGCTCAATCTAAAACGAGCCTATCTAATTTTTCATATTTTTTGGATGCTGAGTTGGTACATGAAGCAGCCGATGAATAAAGCGTATGACTTTTAACCAGCCGAAAAGCTGTAAGTGTTTTTATAGTTCTGTAAAAATATTCGAATATTTTGAACATTTTTTAAATTGTTTTATAGTTTGGCTGGTTTGCTTACACTCGATGCTGAAAGTTTAACGCGACTTTTTTCCCGGGGCAAATTATCCCGCACTACAAAGTCATTTAAAATTGAGGCAAGCTTACTGGTCTAATTGATTCTTTAAACGACCTTGTTTCACACTTAAAAAGTTCTTTAATCAGCCTAAAACCAGTTAAAAGACAATCATAACTTTCAGAGCTTTGCCCTGATACCAGCAGTCTTAATTTGATCATGACCGCGGCAGTTGTGCAAACAGTGTAGAATAAAAACAAATATAGAGGCGTTTATAAACGCGAAGCGTTGATACGCGCGATTTTACTCGCTGGCGATCTGAGTTATAACCGAGGTGGTTAACTCATAGAGTAATTTCGGATAGGGTACACCGTCTGCTCGTCACGCTATCTTATTTTCGGCCGGATAGATTCGTGCAACTTCTTAGTCTAATACCGATCCTAATCTTACTCTTATACTTATCTAGTCTCAGGTTGTTTAACTAGTCTCTGCTAGGCTCAATAGATCTAGGGTATACTGGTTTATTGCGGCTGCTGAAGTTCTCTTGGAGAGTCAACTAATTTCTAAGTTAAATTCAAATCTCTCTGGTGCTGAAATTACAAGTAATTTCAGCACTTACAAATAAGTGGGTTGTTAGTTAGATGGATCATGATTGGTTAATATTAAATACTTTACAATGGTAAAATATCTAATTTATCCAATCATAAAATGTAGTTTAGATCAGGTTCCACCTATCCGGGTTTTACAGAGTTTTTTAGAATAGTCTTTCTGTAATTCAAAGGATGGATGATGGACGTTGGTATTTGGCGAACATCATAATTCTTCTGGGTTTTCGTGTTAGAGAAGTTCCAGGTTCAATCGCTGTGTCTTCTCATGACAACGACTGGATTTTCGCAACAAACTCAAATCTGATTTCAGAATGGTTGGCTATGACAGGTTTTTCTGTTCCATGTAGAGAACTTCTTTTGGGTTGACCTTGTCTGGGAATGGCGTGGAGATTGTGCGTGGAGGGGATGCTTGGTTACTCGGATCTGTACGTATACTTGAACATCGAGGTGGTCATTGGTCTAGTTCAATGAAGTCCTTTTCTGCGAAGTCAAGTCGTACTCTAAATCCTTTGAGTTGTGATTGTGAGCGGCATATTGATTGTGGTTGGCCATTCTTTTTCGAGTGTAGTGGGGTCATTTTGTCTTTGGATGTTCGTCTTTGGTGTTGTATGCTGATCTATATACTGCAAGGTATAATTTACATTTTATAAATTTTTTATTAGTTTGGTGTTTTAATTATGATTTTGGTTAGTTGTTTTCACAAAAGCTTTTTGTTTTAGTTCGGTTATTTTGAAGAGTTACTCACCCTTGAGTACCTCTTTTTAAAAATAGAAGTGTGGTCACAAAGCGTGGATGTAGCGCGGTGGGTTAGGCCGGCTATAGAGCATGCTCAGGACGTCCTCTCTGGTGGGTTAGGCCAGGAGTGGGAGTATGATTTCGTGCGGTTTCTGTGAGAGGTCCTGTTATGTGATAACGTTTTATGTTAGGTTTATTGTGGTTTTTCTTATGTTTCGTTGGTTGTGTCCTTTTTTCAAAAATCAAATTGTTTTTGGTATGGGTTTGTCTTTTGACTTTTTTGTGTTTTATTATTTCTTTCTTAGACTTTATAATAGTCTTCAAAAGAATAAATTATCCAGTTTTAAACTGGGTTAATCCGGTTTGGGTACCGTTGGTTTCCTTTTCTTAGTCATGCTGTTATTCTATGTGTTGTGGTGTTTAGTAAGCTGCGTTGGTTAGTTTTGTTTAGTATATAATTCCTTTCCAACCGGGTTAAAGGAAAGTTTGAAACTTGTTATCGTGTGTTAGAGTTGTTGAGTGTGAAAGCTTGAAACTGAAATTCATTATTTAAACAATTCTTCGTGGGCGAGCTGTGCGAGTATGGATAGAATTCTTGTGCGAGTGAATGGAATATCAAAAGGTTAGTACTGCATTTGCGTTTTATCAATTTACTACATAGAATTTCAATTTTACTGCTAGTTTTGGGGAAAAATTAAGTTACAAATTTTCATCATTATTAGAATTACTGCTTTTAGGGAAATAATTTATAAATTAATTTACTACATTGGTATGAATTTTATTGAATTTATCTAGTGTAGAATATTAATAGAGTTTTGAAGAATTTGAAGAAGTTTTCGATTTTTTATTTTTCTTTATTGTATTTTGCAGATGATCGTGAGATGAAGACTAAAAATCTAAATAAAACATGGATAAAGAATGGTTAGTGTTTTATTTTAAATTTATTAGTTAAGAATATGTATAAATTATACTTACCTGTTAGTCGTCGGGGAAAAAACCGTGGGGAAGATGTCGTGGATTATGTCGGAATTTGTTAGTAACTTTGCTAGTATGCGAATAATGTTTTTAGTTTGAAGCAGTGGCCAAAGCAATTCTAAATATAAAAGTCTGTGTTGGCTTTTGCCGTACTATCATATAACTATTTGGTAAGTTTCTACTTTGTCGTATGTCGTCTCTGGTTCGAGGTATTCTTCCAATTCCGGGTAGTTCTATTATCGTTCGGAATATTGGCTCTGATCTATTGAGTCGTAGAGACATTTCGATTAAATTATCGTCGTATAACATTTTAAAAATGTTTTGTCTAAATTCTAATCTATTTTTGGTTAATTCTAAGCTATTAAGGTCTTGTTCGAGAATTATGGTCGCACCAGATGAGTTATAACCGAGGTGGTTAACTCATAGAGTAATTTCGGATAGGGTACACCGTCTGCTCGTCACGCTATCTTATTTTCGGCCGGATAGATTCGTGCAACTTCTTAGTCTAATACCGATCCTAATCTTACTCTTATACTTATCTAGTCTCAGGTTGTTTAACTAGTCTCTGCTAGGCTCAATAGATCTAGGGTATACTGGTTTATTGCGGCTGCTGAAGTTCTCTTGGAGAGTCAACTAATTTCTAAGTTAAATTCAAATCTCTCTGGTGCTGAAATTACAAGTAATTTCAGCACTTACAAATAAGTGGGTTGTTAGTTAGATGGATCATGATTGGTTAATATTAAATACTTTACAATGGTAAAATATCTAATTTATCCAATCATAAAATGTAGTTTAGATCAGGTTCCACCTATCCGGGTTTTACAGAGTTTTTTAGAATAGTCTTTCTGTAATTCAAAGGATGGATGATGGACGTTGGTATTTGGCGAACATCATAATTCTTCTGGGTTTTCGTGTTAGAGAAGTTCCAGGTTCAATCGCTGTGTCTTCTCATGACAACGACTGGATTTTCGCAACAAACTCAAATCTGATTTCAGAATGGTTGGCTATGACAGGTTTTTCTGTTCCATGTAGAGAACTTCTTTTGGGTTGACCTTGTCTGGGAATGGCGTGGAGATTGTGCGTGGAGGGGATG